TGAGAAGTGGGAAGTGGGTATTTAGTTCTCCGAGATGATGAGCCGTCAAAATCATTATATGTTTTCTGTAAGTTACGAGAGAGATAGTAAGTAGAAATTAATGATTAGTGTTGATTATTTTGGTTAATAGGGATAAGTCGTTGATTGATGCTAATTATTTCTTCAAATAGTAGGCCCTAAGTTGTAAACGTTCAAAATATTTCATAGGCTTAGGTTCCCCATCCCATCTCATGCAATGCGAGTTCATGATATCTTTTGCTTGTTGTCATCTTTCAAAATCTTCTCTTTTTTCAAAAATAATCATGAAAATCTCTTTTCTCTTTAGGGACGTATATTTGCGTGAATATATATATTTTACGCATAAATAATTAGATATTGATGTATAAAACATAGGGTTCCATACAAAAATCGGAGGAAAAAAGTGGGGTGTTACATGCAAGCAGTGCCGGCTCAGATGGGTGGGCGGGCGGTGCGACGGCCAGGGGTCCAATCCCGTAGTCCAATAATTAAGGGCCCATTTTCTAAAATATTTTTTAAAAAATATTAAAAAATTAGATTATAACACAAAAATAAAATTTAAAAAAGTCTATAAAATTTTTTATTTATTGTTTTTAGTATTAGTAATTAATATTTTTAACAAAAATAGTATAAAGATTTTTTTTTGCCTTAGGGCCCATAAAAATGTTGAGCCGGCACTGCATGCAAGGTCAACACGATAGCTGGTGCGGTCGGTGTAAATATAAAAGTATACAATCTAAATATCAAATGGTAAATTCAAAATATCCATCAACTAATTTTCGTTAGAGGTTAATATAGCCAACTAAGCAAAGGCAATCTTCTGGCATAATCATTTGGATATGTCATACTCCCTCCGTTCCTTGAAGTTTGATGTTCTAGTGTTTTGAGTTTGTTCCACAAAGATTGATTTTCTAGATTTTTTTTTATTTTTAATTAATTGATTTTAGTAAATCGTAGATTTCAAGGCGTAATGATTAACTATTTCAGATTACTATTGGTTCATAGTTTATTAAAAAATATTTAATAAAAGTAAATAATTAAACAATGATTGTTTCTTAAAAAATGTGAAATGTTTAAAAAATCAATCTTCTAGGAACAGAGGGAGTATCATATTTACCAGAACACTTTACCATTCACAATATTGTATTAACCAAAAGTTTATACTCCATCTCTTTCATAAATGTTGATTTTTTAATAATTTTCTCAAACATATTTAAAACATTTAATATTGTGTTATTAATAATCATTTTGATTTCCAATAATACTGTATGCACCGTTTTCTACACTAAACAGTCCCAATAATTATAAACCTCTGTTAATTCAATTTCTTCATGTATCTTCCATTCATATTTTTGAACTTCATTAAACTGACCATAATTAATAGTCTAATATATAGCATAGAGAAAAAATCTTACTGATCTTCATACAAAAAACAATGAAATTTTTTAGAATTAATTAAAATAATTAATCTTAGTGAAAAAAACATTTCCACTTCGCCGTGTATGATCACCGACCATGTGTCCATGTCCTTCTCAGTCATCTCCGCCGCCGTTTAATTCTTCCTCCGTTCGTTTTGCCACGTCTTGCTGATGTTCTCCTGACAAGCTCCGCGCCGCCTCATCGTAAGAACTCGCCGCCGTCTCTGCCGTTAGAAACGTTCCAAGCCACTTCCTTGATTTCGAACTCGGATCCCATATCTCCGCCGCCCATTTACCCGATGGCTTTTTCCTCACTCCTTTGTATTTCTTCTCCTTCTCTATCTCTCGGTGCGGCCGTTGTAATGTGCAGCCTTCGCAACCGATGATGCGACAGAGAGGACTATTAGAATATGGGCTTCCAACTCAAAACCAATTGGCAATGAGTGGAGTGACCCATATCCCTTATATATTACTTAGGATCCCTTCCAACTTCCGATGTGGGACATTATGTCCTAATACGCCCCTTCGAGATGATGGCTCTTTGGCCATTAATCTCGAAATGTTCGGGCTTAGATCGACGGCATCAATTTTGGGCCTTGTCGATGATTGGACCATCTTTAGGTCGGATCGGGTTGGACGTGTGTGGATCGGGCTCTGATACCATATTAGAATATGGGCTTCCAACTCAAAACCAATTGGCAATGAGTGGAGTGGCCCATATCCCTTATATATTACTTAGGAGCCCTTCCAACTTCCGATGTAGAACATTATGTCCTAATAAGGACAAGGGCCAGCGTCTGGAGGCGAAAGACCTTCGCTTGCGATCAAATTTGATGATGACGCGTCAGCTCTGGAGTTAGATATCACTTGTTGCAGAGCAGAGACCATGATCTCGTGCTCTTGATTTCTTGTCAAGTACGAAGAAGAAGGTGATCACCTTCTGATGGTGCAACAAGGGTGACATTTTCGTGTTGATCATTAGATGGAACGTTTTCTGAATGATCCATTTTGGTGGGATCAAATGGTGTGAAGATTTAAAAACAAAAGGGAGTGACTAGGGACCTTTTATAGCCAATGAATTGAAACATAAACGTGATATATACCTTTTTAGCATTTCTATGGCCGTATTTTGCTACCATTCGTCGAAATTATTAGTTACATGAATGTGGTTAAACAGAAGAAAATAAAAGCATATAAGCTACATTTCACTGTCTGTAGGCGGAAAAAGGTACACGAAGACAAGCATGTTCGTTTGACAAAAAAAAAAACATCATGTTCTGCTCGTGTGTGTGTTTTTACAAAATAATTTAGTCAAATATGATTTAAAATACATTTTGTTTGTTAATTGATTTAAGATAATTTGAGTGAATTGTAGACTATATACGGGTTTGAATTTGATAAGATAATGTAATACTGTAACTCTTTAATCAAATTCAGTAATTCACTAAGTTTTCTAATATGTTCTAATTAATCAACAAAAGCCGCACATATTTATCAAATTTTAAATGGTCTCTAATATTTAAAAGTTAAATAATGTATTTTTATAAACAAAATATACTCTCTCCGTTTCATAATATAAGGCGTTTTGGAAAAAGTTTTTTGTTTCGCAATATAAGTCGTTTTCGAGTTTTGATACAAATTATATATTACTTTAATATTTTATGATTATTTATATTATGTAGTCTCTTTTATGATTGGTTGAACTTTTTAAAAGTATTATCTTTTTAATTGGCGTGCTTTCATCTAGAATGACTTATATTATGAAACGGAAGGAGTATAATATATAAAAAGATGGATATATTGAAAGATTTTAATATAATTTTTAATCAATATTTATTAATAATATGTTAAAGATAATATATATATATATATGTGACATTTATATATATATATATATGAAACTTTTTAAAAATATATATATAAGACATTTAAAAATGTTATGTTTTCATTTTCTTTGTAAATAAATAAAAAAGTTTTTTGAAATTCTTATATTTACAAGTTTGCATCACACTTATTTCAATCATTTTTCATCAGACCATCACTTATTCCGTCTGTTTCACTTTCACATATACTATTGGAATTGAAGGGAAAAAAGGCCGCGTCGTTCTCGTAAAGGAGCACGTTTCGAATAAGCATGTGGGTCTCAATGGCACCGTCTCATGTAATCCACGCGGCAAGAACTTACTGCATCTTTAGATTTTGTTCCTTTCGTTACATTATTATTAATATATGGTATTATGTACCCAAGTTTCGATTATCAGTTCATACTATCCACTTTCTATAATTAGAGTATAACTTCTATATAAAACAAATTAGCTCTTTCACCGAGTAAACCAATCAACTTCTTAATCTACATGTCACTTTCGAATTCATATTGTACCATTTTATGCAGAGTTGGCTTGTACACTGTACAGAACATATCATGTTTTAAATATATATATATATATATTTATGTATATAAGTATTTATCCAAGTCAGCATTTAAGTCATTAATGTACTGTTCGGAATTTGTCAATTATTCTAGTTTCAAGCCGATTATTCAATAGAGAGAGTCAAGTAGACTATCGCAGACAAATAAACGCTGGCTTCACATTGCTGCTCACTTCAGCATATCGTACTCAAATTTAATTTCCCTACCAAATTAAGATATTTACATTGTAAGCATTTTTTAACTGGTAAGACTAAAATTTGCTTAACTTGTAGTATATTATTTGATAATTACTCCATTTTCAGTTTGGGAATATTGTGGTTTTAGATGCTCGGACTAAATCAATGATCGACTCCATCATCATAAACAGAGTGTCTACCTTCTGTGGTGTGGAGTATCTGCCTCAAATAAAGTGCAATTAAGAAACAGAGGAGAAAACTCTTCCATAAACAGAGGTTTTCATCATCACAAAACAGCCCAAAAGCCAAAATAATGATAAAGCCCAACCAAATGCAAATGTTAAAGCTCACTAAATAGAGAGGTCTTTATCAAAACTTTTTGGGCTCTATAGAACTTTTTTTTCCCTCAAAACTTGAATTTGAAGACCTCTTAGTAAAAAAAAAAAGAGAAACCCTACTTAAGTGGTGGGTTCTCATACAAAATACCACAACTCCTCTGAATAATGTATTAATTTCTCCCCCAAAGCATCTATAACTACTATAACTATCGCAATATAGCTTATTATTCCTCGCCGTTTATAGTTATGATCACCGACCAAACACTTTTTCAGTCATCTCCACCGCCAAGTTCTTTAATTTGTGCCACGTCTCGCTGATCTTTTTCCAACAAGCTCAGCCGCTGCCTCATCGTAAGCATGCGCTGCCATCTCCGCCGTTGGAAACGTTCCAAGCCACCTCCTTGCTCTCATACTCGGATCCCATATTTCCGCAGACCATTTTCCTGATAAATAACTTAATAAAGTAATAAACCGGTGGAACGTACAGACTCAAAAGTTGTTGGAACATAACATACTAATTAGAACAAAATTTACCTGATGGCTTCTTCCTCACTCCTTTGTGTTTTTTCTCCTTCTTTACCTCTTCATGCCGTGGGAATGCGCACCCGTAGCAACCGGTGACGCCGCAAAGAGGACAAGGGCCAGCGTCCGGAGGTGGAAGAGCTTCACTTGCAATCCAGTGAGATGATGACGTATCACCTCCAGTGTTGGATATCACTTGTCGCAAAGTAGAGACCATGATACCATGCTCTTGATCTCTTGTCAAATAAGAAGGTTGTGAAACAAGGGTGAAATTTTCGTTTTGAACATTTTTTGAATAGTCCATTTTCGTGGTGTCAAACTGATAATACTTATATTTAGTGACTGGGAAAGATCAAAAGTGTTGTCAACTTGTCATGAAGATTTGAAAACAATCTAAGTTTATATAGTAGGAAGGTGAAGTCTACGTGGCTACCAAAATCTAATATATGTACATGTTGGTCCCTTGTGAATCTAAAATTTTGAAGTTATAGTACACGCGGCACAAAAGTTGTTACATACTCCTACTTAGAATGTTACTCCTGTAATAATAAATGCGATGTCATGTACTGTATAGTAGTAACAAGCAAGTATATAGTATATACGTATCAATTATTTTCGATCCACTTTTAAATTGTTACTAAATATAGTATTAAATCGTTTTCAGGTACTGTCAGCTTTCTGTATAAAGTATAAAAGTAATCTAATCATTAGACCGACTAAGCCTTTTCACTTCTTAATCCGAATGTCATTTTCGAATCAATAATGCCACGTTTAAAACGTATAAGCACATGCATGTAGATTTGGGCATTTTCAGGTCATTTGGTATGGTCAAATTAATTGCTTGTCATATATGATCCCATGATTTGGTTAACATTAAGTAATTATCAACCCTTTACCCCAAAAAAAAAAAAGCATTCCGTAAATATCATAATTTTTTCTTATCACATACTTTAATAATTAAATTATATATAAATATATATATAGTTACAGATTTTTTTTTTTTGTTCAGCTATTTCATATTTATTAATATGAAAACCCAAATGGGTATTACATGAGACGAAACAGAAGCCCAATTTCTTCTACATTTACAATTTCATTTGAAATTAAGCCCACTTACCCTAATCCAATTTTAATGATAAGGATAAGAGTGAAAGTGCCACGTGTAAACACGTGTCCAAAAGTGAGAAGGAGGAGATTTGCCACGATCGTCACCGGCCACATCCACGATCTAGCGCAGCGCCGTCGCCGGACTGCAGATCCATCATCGCTGACTCCTTCTACATGTTCCACCGCTGTCGATCTGCAAGATTTTGCTGCTACCGTCTTAAAATTTCAAGCAATAAACTCAAATGAATCTTTATATTTCAACTCCAAAACTCTTCAAAGAAAGCTCCGCTTTAAGACCTCCAAAGGTCCACTTCATACCAGAAGGTGAAGTAAGTTGACGAAGATATTACTTCTTCAGAAGAGAAGAGCCAAGCTGACAGTGAAGCAAACATAATCTTTCAAATAGCAAACGGAATTTGAATTTGAAATCATGTAGAAAGAGAGAACAAACAAAATCCAGATCTTATACAAAGATAAGTCTGAAAAACTTCAATCCGACCATAACACCGGCTAAGCCGGAGATGAAAAACAACATAAGATCGGAAAAGAAACAAAAAAAAATTAGTCCGATTAGTAATCGGAAGATAAAAAGAAGAAACTGACTTTTTCCCTCTCTAAAAGTTTTGAGAGAGTTAAGAGAGAGAAAAGCTATATAATGGGTACAGAAACTTTATAACATATATAGTCCATTAAATTAGTATTTTAGGAGGAGGTAAATTAATAATGTGGTATAGTTACGGATTTTTTTTTTAAAAACAATGCACAAATGTTAGAACAAAAATTCTGATAAACATTCTGATTGCATGTTATTTTTTATTTTGCCTTTTGGGGCTTTGTGTATATATCTTGACAAAAGAAAAATCTTTGTATGTTTTTCATAAAAAAAAAAACTTTCTATGTACATAACTCTCCAAAATAAATTTTGTTCTCTCGCGATAAGTACATACACGATCAAATCCTCGTTTCGTGAGCAATAATTTTCTTGACGTATAACACCTCGAATCCGATTCTCCTATATACTTTTCTCAACCATCTCCCTCCTGGCTTCCTTCTCCATTCTTTGTGCCACGTCTCTCTAACTTATTTTCCATTCTCCTATATAGAAGACAAGATTCGAACTCAAGACTTGACACTAACTTATTAACTACATAACCACTATGCTAAACAAGTTTTTTTGTAATGTGGCCCTAAAAACTTTATTATATTTTGTGGCCTAAAGCAAATGCTTTGCTTGCTTTATGGGTGGGCCGGGCCTGTCTCTCTAGTCCTCTCCCGACAAGCCCAGCCGCTGCATCATCGTAAGCTTGCGCTGCCATCTCTGCCGTGGAAAACGTTCCAAGCCACCTCCTTACCCTCAAAGTCGGATCCCATATTTCTGCCGACCATTTACCTGATAGTATTTGAAAATACGTAAGTTGTCGTAACATACTCAAAGCTATCTAAACATAAACTATTTAAACATATATATATAATGAACCTGATGGCTTTTTCCTCACTCCTTTGTGCTTCTTCACTTTCTTAATCTCTTCTTGCCCTTGTTGGAATGCGCAGCCAGAGCAACCAGTGGCGCCGCATAGAGGACAAGGGCCAGCGTCCGGATGCGGAAGAGCTTCCCCGGCGATCCAGTGAGATGATGACGTGTCACTTCCTGAATTAGATATCACTTGTCGCAAAGCTGAGACCATAATCCCATGCTCTTGATCTCTTGTCAAGTACGACGAAGAAGAAGAAGGAGGTGATGGTGCAACAGGGGTGAGATTTTCGTTTTGATCATAGGATGGAACATTTTCTGAATTATCCATTTTAGTGGGATCACACTGAAAATTATTCATTTCTGTCGGCGAAGAAAAGATAACGACACTGGTGTGAGAATTTTGAAATCAAAAGACACGCGGTGAGAGGTTTATATAGTAGGAGGAACAAATCCACGTGGCCGCCATGTCATTCTCGTAATCAAACATATTGGTGTACGTGGGTCCCATGTAAACAAATATAGGACGGCATGATATTCTTTTAATGACGTCACGCATGAAATATGTACTATATGCTTAGATATTATTCATGTAATAAATGCAATTTTTAGAAGAAACAAATTTGGTCATTACATCGAGTAAAACAATCCATTTCTTAATTTGCACGTCACTTTTGAATCATTAATGACATTTTATGTCATGTTAAAATCTATACTATCACGTTTTAAATATATATAAGCTAATAGGCACATGTAATTTTTGATTGGTATAGTTTGCTCACCGTCAAATGAACAAGTTGGTTGACATATTTTGTAACCGCCCAATATCGGTGAACATTTAATTTCCCTGCATTTACGTTAAATGGTGAATACAAAAAGTATCCAATTTTAATAATCTAAGACTTGGATTTCTTGTTATTAGAGCATACTAAACAATCTCTATATGATCGATAAAAGTTATTTCATGTTTGAAAGTAAGAAACTAAATAATAAATAACATAATTTTTTTTAATAATAAATTTACGATTTAATTGTACGTAAGTTCTTTGTAACAGATCATTTGATACATTATGGGATATGCTGCGAAAAATAAAGTTTCTAATTGAAACATTATAGAAAAGATTTTCTGATATAAACTCTTGATTGGAGTAAACGTGCAAGAAAGAAATATTTGGCCCATGGCCGGTCCATTAATTACTGGGGTCCAAAGCAAATACTACTATAATTGCGGCCCTTATTTAGTTTCTTTCAAAAATGAAATATATACTTTTTTTTCTGTCAAAAAAAATTGCGGCCTGTTATAAATGGATATTTATTTTGATGATTATCCATCATATCTTCCCCTTCACGCCACTGGTCTTCACGTCTCTTACCCTCCAAGTAATTGTAATTTTATCTTATCCTAAAACTCCTATATATATGTACGGTGGAAGAGTAGAGAAGTTAATAAGAAAGAGAGTATTGTTTGTTTATCTCACTTCCCAAACTCTCTCGTCTCTCTATCTAAAATACAAAATACTAGGATATGACCCGCGGTACACCGCGGGTTAATTATTTGATTTTTTATTTTTATAAATTGATGAATTTATTATGTATAATATTTTTTGTTGTATACCGTGGGTCACATGCGTTGTATCTAAAATAAAAAATTTTAAGTTGTATTTGTTTTGTTTAGTGTTTAAGATTGTATAATTGTATTTTGATTTGTTATTTATAGGATTTCACATGTGGTATATTGTCTCGTATTAATATTGACCCAAACCCGTCCAACCATATAATCTAAAATGAAATTAAACATCATTTTGTTATTTTTTTAATAACACTTTTATTTAAATGTCATATAATTCGAGTTAATTTGAAATTTGCTTTCAAATAGTTTTCATGTATATTTTTAAATTAGTGTGTGTTTTTGGACCACCCCGTAAAAACAATTTATAATTGTATCTTAAAATACTAATTAGGATTTCACCCGTGATATACTGTCCCATTTTAGATAATTGTAAAAATTAAAAAAAGATCCGAATGACTCAATTTCGGGTCTGAATAAAATAACGACATGATTAAATGCTCAATTTGTTCTTAAAAATGTTAATATAGATTACACACATATTTTTATTCATCGATTGAGTAATATATGTCCGTTTTAAAAAATTTGAATTGTAACATATGCAGAAAAAAAAAAACTAAAATTTACTAACTATTTATATATTTTATAATAATTTAAAATAATATAAATATAAGATCAAATAAAAGTGAAATAAGAATCATATATTTATGTTTAAATTAGGTAGAGAGGTTTTAGGAAATTAGTGCAAATTTGTTATATTAGCATTAAATCATCATATTTGATTTCTTTATCTATAAAAATCGTGGAGAATATACCATAAATAAAGCGTTTAAATATAGTAATTAGTTGAGAAAGTATATATATTTTAGATTTTATTAATTATTTTCGTTTTTTAATTTTGCCAAAATTTAAGGAAAGATCCGATTGAAGATTTCTGGGTCAAAATTAAACAAATTTGACCCGATTTGGGTACCCCAAAAACTGCTGCAAAAATGTATAGTAGACTAGGATATGACCCGCGGTACACCGCGGATTAATTATTTGATTTTTTTATTTTTATAAATTGATGAATTTATTGTGTATAATATTTTTTGTTGTATACCGCGGATCACATGCGTTGTATCAAAAATAAAAAATTTTAAGTTGTATTTGTTTTGTTTAGTGTTTAAGATTGTATAATTGTATTTTGATTTGTTATTTATAGGATTTCACCTGTGGTATTTTGTCTCGTATTAATATTGACCCAAACCCGTCCAACTTATAATCTAAAATGAAATTAAACATCATTTTGTTATTTTTTAATAACACTTTTATTTAAATGTCATATAATTCGAGTTAATTTGAAAGTTGCTTTCAAATAGTTTCCATGTATATTTTTAAATTAGTGTGTGTTTTTGGACCAACCCGTAAAAACAATTTATAATTGTATCTTAAAATACTAATTAGGATTTCACCCGTGATATACTGTCCCATTTTAGATAATTGTAAAAATTAAAGAAAGATCCGAATGACTCAATTCGGGTCTGAATAAAATAACGACATGATTAAATGCTCAATTTATTCTTAAAAATGTTAATATAGATTACACACATATTTTTATTCATCGATTGAGTAATATATGTCCGTTTTAAAAAATTTGAATTGTAACATATGCAGAAAAAAAAAAAACTAAAATTTACTAACTATTTATATATTTTATAATAATTTAAAATAATATAAATATAAGATCAAATAAAAGTGAAATAAAAATCATATATTTATGTTTAAATTAGGTAGAGAGGTTTTAGGAAATTAGCGCAAATTTGTTATATTAGCATTAAATCATCATATTTGATTTTTTATCTATAAAAATCGTGGAGAATATACCATAAATAAAGCGTTTAAATATAGTAATTAGTTGAGAAAGTATATATATTTTAGATTTTATTAATTATTTTCGTTTTTTAATTTTGCCAAAATTTAAGGAAAGATCCGATTGAAGATTTCCGGGTCAAAATTAAACAAATTTGACCCGATTTGGGTACCCAAAAACTGCTGCAAAAATGTATAGTAGATATACTCCCTCAATTTCATATATAAGTCGTTTTAGCTTTAAACACGCAGATTAAAAAAATTTACTTTTAAAAAGTTCAGCCAATCACAACAGAGACTGCATAATATAAATAATTATAACATATTAAAATAATATATAATTTGCATAAGAATTTGAAAACGATTTATATTATGAAACAATTTTTTTTCTCCAAAACGACTTATATTATGAAACGGAGGGAGTATTACATATATATATGTTTTGAGTTATTATTTATAACATGGCCTTGATTTATTATTTAATATTTATCATCATATAATAGTAGATAACTAGATATAGGGGTGTCAAAATGGGTTAATACCCATGGGTTACCCGAACCCGCCCATGATTTTAGTGGGTTTGGGTAGAATTTTTTTACCCATATATATATGGGTTTGCAGTGGGTTACCCTATTAGGGTTATGGGTTTAATGGGTAAAACCCATTAGGATCATGGGTTATCCATGGGTTTCATAACCAAAACTAAAAAGTAAAATTTATATATATCTATATTAATATATTATGTAAAATTTATATAAATATATGTAAAATATCTTCTTTTCTTTACAACTATTTTTTTTATTTGGTTTTATGGTTCTTTGGATTTGTGGTTTTAAGATTTTAGGATATTTTTCTACTTTAATATCTAGATTTTTTAATTTATTATTTAAAAACTTTTGTTGATTTACAATTTTATGTTATTTTTTTGGATTTTTGTCCTTTTTATATATTTTATTATACATATATATGGGTACCCATATAACCCATTAAGCCAATGAATTTCTACAATAATGGTTTGGGTATATAAATTCAACCCATATAAATATATGGGTCGGGTCAAATCCGTCCATTAAACACTCGAACCCATGTGGGTTTGGGTCGGGTCGGGTCGGGTTACCCATTTTGACACCCCTAAGTAGATATAAGGTCCAAAGAAAAAAAAATCTCAACTCGAAAGTCTAATTAATAAACGTTCATTAATTTCTGTAGAAAAAAACTCAAGAGTGTGTGCTGATACTTTCAAGATGCAATGCTTTTGTTCGGGTAAAGAAGGCTGCAAAAGATGAGGTTCCAGTTTATCATATAAGGTACAAAGATTAGAGAATAAGCAAATACTCTGTTTTCTAATTTTTTGTCCTTTGTCTACAATTTTCTGCATCAAGTCAGAACTTGCTGATGTTGAAACTGAAAAGTTCAAGAAAGAGAAGTGTGAACTTATAATGCTGTTCAATTTCATATATTGTCAAATAGTATATTATTGCTTGTATTTTCTTGTAATGCTTCTCAGTTTCAAATTTGGTCAATGTGTAGCTATAAATACCCTACACCTCTTTCTCACTATAATGCATATATTATAGGACCCATCAATGTGTAGCTATAAATACCCTACACCTCTTTCTCACTACAATGTTTTCGTTTTTCTCACGTCTCAGTTACACAAACCTCTGAGACTCTCACCAAAATTTTCAAATATGCTTACAACTTTCTAAAAATCTGCTCTTTCTCTTTCCTGAGTGAAACATGGTCGACGTTGACCGGAGAATGACCGGTTTGACTCCGGCTCACGCAGCCGGTCTCCGCCGTCTCTCAGCTCGCGCCGCCGCTCCATCCACTCCTATGATCAGAAACAGCCTTCAATCTTTCTCCCCTTTCGCTGATAAAGTAATCAATCATCTTAAAAATTCATGTATCAAAATCCAACCGGGTCTCTCCGATACCGAGTTTGCCCGAGTCGAAGCCGAGTTTGGTTTCACTTTCCCACCGGACCTCCGTGTTATCCTCACCGCCGGTCTCTCCGTCGGTCCAGGATTCCCAGACTGGCGTTCTCCCGGAGCTCGTCTCCACCTCCGTGCCATGATCGATTTACCCATCGCCGCCGTATCGTTCCAAATCGCCAAAAACAGTCTCTGGTGCAAATCTTGGGGCTTTAAACCACCCGACCCGGTAAAAGCTTTACGGGTCGCGAGAAACGCCTTAAGAAGAGCTCCTTTAATGATCCCCATCTTCGATCACTGCTACATTCCTTGTAACCCGTCTTTAGCGGGTAATCCGGTTTTCTTCATCGACGAGACTCGGATCTTCTGTTGCGGGTCGGATCTTTCCGAGTTCTTCGAGCGAGAATCTGCTTTTCGAAGCTCCGAATTCTTCCCGAGAATTCTCACTAAGCAACGTTCGGTGAGCGAGAAATCAGCTGGATCATCCTCGAATTTTTCCCGGAGAAGCTTAGATTCGGGTCGGGCTAACGGAACGGGTAAGTCGAGATGGGTTGAATTTTGGAGTGACGCTGCGGTGGATCGTTGCCGGCGAAACTCCGCCTCATCATC